TGGAATGGGTTTGATAAAGGATTGCAAAAATTATTTGTTGTAGAAACTTTTTTGCAGTGCTTGCTTGTTAAAGCAATAATTCTGGTGCCACCCAAATACAGTGGTACCTCGGGTTAAGAACTTAATTCGTTCTGGAGGTCCGTTCTTAAGCTGAAACTGTTCTTAACTTTAGCTAATGGGGCCATCCACTGCCGCTGCGCTGCCGCCACACGATTTCTGTTCTCATCCTGAAGCAAAGTTCTTAATCCGAGGTACTATTTCTGGGTTAGCAGAGTCTGTAGCCTGAAGCATCTGTAACCTGAAGTGGTACCTGTGGTACCACTGTATTGATAATCAAGTATGTTACCTAATACAGTGGAGACCTACTGTTGGAAAGCTGAAAATAATGAGAGTTTGGTCAGAACAAAAACCATACTGGCTAAAGGTTGCTTTAAGCTGCTACAGCAGTTTAAGATGTCTCCTTCTGTAGTATGATAAGGTAGCGCATGTCCAGTACCACATGTATGACCATTTGGAATAAAAGTAGGTTGAAAATGTGAGAAAATAAAATAAATTGTAGCCTTTTGTGCTTTCCAAGAGGGGTACTGCTATAGTTCATTAGCCACTGCTCTTTGAATAGCATTATTTTCAGAAGGAGCTCAGAGGATAAATGGAAAAAGAAAGGGAATTTTGAACTGTGTTTTTGCACAACATGGGTGGGTCACCTTTTCTTTTCAAAGCGGATCAGGTTTCCAGTCACGACTTAACTAAAATTACCTTTTTATCCCCTTACAATGAATATATTCCCTTGATGTTTAGACTGTTAGTGTGCCCTCAGGATGGGTAATAACTTTACAAAACTCACATGCCAAGTATACCTACGAAAACTTTTATGCAATGTGTAACATCACACCATCCACAGGTAACTTGGAAATATACTGTAAACATCGCCCCAACCCTATCCAAATAAATATACAACAAGTTGTTCCCCACCACCACCACCTATTTGTTCATCCTAGCCGTTTTGAAGAAGTGTGGGTGGAAAAGTGGCCTAGAAATTAATAAATATCCCATTTCTTTAAATGCTTTCTCAAAGACAAAGATCTCATGGAATCTCTTGAGAATGTTGTGCTTTTGGAAAATCTCAGAAGTATGTGTTTCAGGGCAGCAGCACAAATATAATTGTGTGCCCTTATACTATTTTATGGCATCCACGGGAGTGTGCATTTGCTTGGTGTAAGGGCACAGTGGAGACATGGGGAAGATGCAGTCTAAGGCATAAAGAGTTTTTACTGGTAAAAATCAGTATCATGGTTGAAAGATAATAAAATGTCTAGCCATTAAGGTAAATCGATGAACTTCCCTCAGTGCTTTCATATCATTACACTGCAGGATAAATGGACATGTGAATATATCTTTTCTTCATTCTATTAACAGTTGCTTTAAGCCAAGAAACCTGTGAATGGAAGGAGAAAATACGTTAGTGCTCTTCCATTAACAGGTTGCATTATAAGAAACCGTGAATAATGAATAATGATGCCACCTGCATCCCTAATGAAAGTGCAGGTTCTTGTGTATAAACTGTAGAGGACTATAAAGTCTTGTGTAAGAAGACTTTGAACAAACACATTCCCAAGAGTTTACAAGAACAGAAGAAGTCTTGCGGATTTGAAGTCATTTTTCTCACACAGCTGTTACATCAGTAACAGTCATTTTTGTAAAAGAAAGATTTATATATTTATTTTGTTAACAGAAGGGCAATGTTTCTGGAGAATGATGTTGTTTGGTTGAACAGTCTATTGCATGAGTCTGCTCCACCAATTACAATCCTACTGTTAAATTAATGTCACAAAGGCATTGCTCTGTTGCAGATAAGATATTATTATTTTTTGTAAATGTTTGGAGTCAATAGCTTGGATCCAGAGTAGCCATTCTGTTAGCAAAAGGGCCTCTTGCATTAACAGACGGGGTAGTGATCCAGTAAAGGGTCCCATTCATTGCAATTTTCATCAGTTCCTTGGTCTTCCTGCAGTATCCTACCATCCTCAGACCAGCCCCATTTAAAGAGTACAGGGCTGCATGGGCAAGGGCTAATTGCTAAAAATTACCTCCAATCCCTTCACTGAGCCAGAAGATCCATGAGTGGATCTGTGAATCAAACTGCGATATGCACACATCTGTGTCCCAAGCCTTGCAAGTTGGAGTCCGATATAAACTTCACACTAAAGCCACAAAAGAAACTTGGAGGAGGAAACATTTGCGTATCTCAAATACTTAAAGCGGTGCCAATTATTTCAGCAAGCCATAACTGCAGTTAAGCGGTTACTTTATTGCAGATGAGGGCTGAGAGCGAGGGGGGAACCACCTATCAATTTCATGGCTGAGGTGGTATTTGAATTTGTCACATTCTCATCCATGGTTTTCAGTCCTATTCACTGCACCACATCACCTCCTGGGGCCTTGGTGACCCTAAAAATATCAGAAATCCTTTCTATTGTAAAACCCTTTAGAGGTATGTTAGTATAAGCCATGAGTGTCCCATGGATGTGGTTGGACTGTATGTCCCTTCAGCCCACAAACAGCATGGCCCAATGGCCAGGGATGATGGGAACTGTTGTTCAACAAGGCCTGGAGGGCACCCTTCTAGCTACCCCTGGTATAGGCAGTCGGTAAGACCATGGTCTGAGGCCACTGGATGATGCAGCTGCAGGACTGAAATGAAGCAAATCAAAGGGATGAGATTGGAAGCCACCTGGAAGACCATGTAAGCTGCCTTGAGTTCCACAGGGGAACAAAAGGCAGAAAATGAACATGTTAAATAATAAACATCTGTTTCTCTGGCCCTCCCTTTTTTTGCGAGGGTAAATGCTTCAGAATTCAATGTTCTTGTCAATACATGCAGATACAGCAAAAGTTTTATTGTTTCGCATAATTGTCTACACCATTAAGTACTTTATAAACACTAATTAAATTAAATGCCACACTACCCCAGTTGCTGCTAACTATTAAGCAGGCAACTATTATACTTGTTACCCAGATGAATAAATAAGGGCGTAAATAGGTCACATCTACCATAGAAACCACAATGACTTAGCGACAGATCTATTTATAGAAGTGAGATTTTTTTTTTGACTCATCACTTTTCTTACCTTTTATGATAATGTAATTTGCAGAAGTATATCGTTGTGCCTTCCATAATGAGGGAAGAGAATTAATAGGAAATTATGCTGATGACTTAAGAATTACTCTGAACTGGTTCCCGGCTGCAGCTTCTGAAGCATGTATAGCCGGGTGCTTCTTATGTTCTGCAAACTGCTGAGAGGAAACTCAGGTGCAGGTTTAGCAGAGGTTCTCAGATGTGATACGAGCCTTTCTAACACCTCCTCTCTAGAGAATTGGTGCCTGCAGAGAGGGGAACTTAAGCCGTGTTCAAAACTCGCATTGTTCTAGGTGCATTTTGCAACATGGAATTTCATTAGGGCGAGCAGTTTCTGAGCTCTGGGCGCGGTACTGCACCTAAGATTTCAGATTAAAACTGCAGAGTGGAAGGAAAGGAGGACCTTTTTCTGCCTCCCCACTTTCAGATACTCTCTGAAGACTGGAGAAGAGACCCTCTTAAGAATATTAGGGGGGTGGGCAGGGGAAGGACTAGACCATGTGAAAAATGAATACAATATTTTAGCTGCAGTTCATTCATTTTCAGCTTTGTATTTTTGTTATAAAAAAGCACCCCTAGTCATTCTGTTGTTGCACCCATAACCTAGGTTTAAGGTGCCATTTAGCTCCTAGCTTTCATACCTCAGTTTCTAACACTGGACTTAAGCCCTTGTGGGGTTGGCCTCTTGGGGGTATGGGAAACAGGGGAAGACAGTAAAATGGTAAGCTGTCATTTACTAAGAAATATGACAATCTTCTCTAGAGACAAGGCAGATTTGGTGTCTCAATCTGGTAAGCAGTTTGAGCAAGGAGAGTCAGGGACAGCCTCCCCCCTTCAACTTTGTGTCATTTTGGACTAAAATTCCCATAGCCCAAAGTCAGGGAAGATGGGAGTTATAGTTTAGCAGCTAGTTGGGTAAGGCTTGACATGGGGAAAGCCTATAGGCTGGAAGGTAAGAATAAGGACCCGATAAGAAGAGAGGGAAAGAAGCAGACAGACAATGAAGGTGTAAAAGCCACACACACACACACGCACACACGCATGCACACACGCATGCACATGGCATATGCCACCAACTGCCCTGTGGGGAAGATCCTGATAACTTTTGGTATTTTGATACTGTTTGCTATGGCTTTTGAAAATGTATTTACTTGTAAGCTGCCTGAGAATGCGGGATATAAATGCATAAGGGCAATATAAAATGCATAAGGAGCCAGGGCTGACAGTGAGTTCCTGCGTGGGGGAGCAATGCATAGGATGTGGTTTGCTGCATAGGCAGAGATTGTGGGGAGGAGGAGGAAGTTTATATTGGGAGTGAACAGCAGCAGCCTGTCGTGTTTGAAGAGGAGGGGAAAGAATAGAGGAAAGCGGGTTAACACAGTTTCTTGGCCACAGTGGAGGCACATGCTTTGTGAGGAAAGTGGTGCCTCCATGAACGTTTTTTTAAGTCTTTCTGCAGCTAGAGGTCCTACCACATATGGAGCTGTGGACATAGTTTTGGAGGGCTGGGACTGGAAATGTGAACTATTCTCGTTCTCTCAGCTCTCCTTTATTGAGCCAGGAGGGGCAAGCGTCAAAGAATAGCAACAGCTCCCACTGGCATGCTTGCCCAGTGGCGAAGGTTGCGATAGACAATATACATGAGAACGGCTGTCTTCTTAACCACCGCTTTTAATATTTTTATGGAAGCTAAATTCTCATCTCTCATTTGTCTGTGGAGGATTGTTTCCATAGGCAGCTGGATTTATGGAGTGCTGTGGGGCACAACAAATGCATTTGAATAAGACTCTTGAGGTTATAAAATCATAGAGTTGGAAGGGACCAACGGGGTCATCTAGTCCAACCCCCTGCAATGCAGGAATCTTTTTGCCCAAAGTGGGGCTTGAATCCTATGACCCTGAGATTAAGAGTCTCAAACTCTACCAACTGAGATATGTTTTATTTTGATTGTTTCTGGGGAGAGGGAATGCGCTGTCTAGATACCACTCCCAAAGCAGGTCATGTGAGCATTATTCTTAAGCTTTACGGTGTTAGTTTTGAAGCCAGGGAAAAGTTGGCATTGTTCAGACACTTTCAGTTGTGGGTAGTTTGCCACAGTGATAATGTGCTTTAAAGGGGGCATTTTCCCCATTTCACATCTCTCCAGATGCTCTTGTTAATGGCTCTTGTAAGCCCGTTGTATTTCCCCTCCCTTTCTTTTCCTGCTCTGTACCTCTACTTGGGTAAAGATTGAGCTTGGTGGAACTAGTTCTTCATGGATGCTCACCATTGTAACTCATTTGTTATTGGAATGAATTCAACGTTTCTTTCCCTTCCCCCCTTGTTTAGAGGCATTTGGCAAAACTTGCTGCATTTAGCGAGTTTTTAATTGTTATTATTGCATAATGACAACATTGTATAACATTGGAATTTTAGCTAATTATATTGTGCTAATTTGAAGGTATTTTGGTTTTTGTAGATCTCAAGAATAGAAAAGATATTTTTTTTAAAAAAAAAAACTTACATTAAAAAATTTACCCTGGCTTTAAAAAGAAAAACCCATGCAAGCCCTAGGTACCAAAATTTCCAGAATTTAAAGCTCAGATGCATATCAACACTTGTGGGTTTTTCAAGCTTCCTGATGTGTGGGTGTTTAGTGGCATGCAAAGGAAGGTCATTTACATTTACATTTGACTTGTCATAAATATTTTTGAGTAGTGTTAGACTTAACAGTTTTGACTGTAGAGGCTAAAACCAACTTTGCTCTTTATAACTCTGGTGTTATATTTGGGGTGGCAGAGGGGACAGAGAGAAGATGCTTGCTTGCCTGCCAATCCTGCCTGCAGGATAACCTGTCAAAATTGTGTCCTATGAATATTTTTCCTGTTCCCTTAAACAGCTGGTACCTCTAGAACCAGACTTAAACTTTGTAGACAATCAGACAGGTGTTTGGGACATTATGAACACAAGCAAAAGCATGTAGCAGCTAGAACATCTGTAGAAGTTATTTAGCAGTGTATGCCTTCTCCTAATGCATGTATTGCATACTGGAAAATATTTCCCACAAGGAATATCCTGCTCAGTGACATTCCGGTGATGATTCTCCAACCCAGAGTTCTCTTGATGGTCTGCTTTCTGTATGGAGAGCAACCCTTCTCTCCATGGTGCTGCATAGAGGTACCCTCAGCATTAGATCCTACTCTAAAACCTGGTCTATCATAGCATTGAAGGGCATGCATTGTTTAAAACTTAGCTATCCATGAAGTTGGCTAGCTATCTTGGGTAACTTGACACTTCCTTAGCCTTAGTCCTATATTCCAGATGGAGGACTATACTAGTCTGCTTTGCAGACTTGTTGTAAGGACTGCTAAAATTTTGTGGAACAGCTTGCCTTGAGCAATTAGAACCCAGTGTGCCAATTCCACAATGCAGACCTGTGCCAAGTATTCTTACAGCCCAGCCTCTACCATTTTACTTGAAAGTGTGCTCTAGTGATTTTAGTTGGATGTTCCTGGAAGTAAGTATAGATCTGGACTGCTAGCGTCATCCATGAAAGTGTGTGATCAATGCAGTAAAAAGGATTTCCTCCTTGTTGCTGTGGCCAACGTCTGAAAGCTCTCTTCTGTTAATATAATGGTAGCTTAGCTGGGACCTGGGAGGGTCGACAATTGATTCACGGCTCTTACAGGAGGCTTATAATTCTTGCTGATCACAAATGAAACCCCACAGTGCTATAGCTAAGCTGACAATTATTGATGTGCACATGAGGGGAAGAGTAAAAGAAAGAGAGGGAAAAGACTCTATGCTGTAGAAGGAAATGTACTTATGCAAGCGCTGGAAACCAAAGCAGTTTTATTAATGGCTAAGAATTGGAGTGAAGAAAGTGCTAATCATACTTTCTCATGATTTATTTTTTTTAATGGAAGGAATGGGGGAGGAAAGCTGCCTCCTGCCCCATTCCTTCCATTTATTTTTTAAAGCATAAGTGGTTTGCTTTCAGTTATTTGCTCTTTGCCTTCCTGATTTCTGAACCACTTCTTGTATTGAGTGTGGCACTGGCGGAATTTTTGGCAGATGGGCAAAGTTCCCTCTTTGGATGTTACACTCTGCAGTGAACAGGTGTGTGAATCAATGCATTATCTTTTCATCACTTATTACAATGTTCAAAGTCATCCCTTTCACATTTATACAAAACATTTTTGAAAGGTGATGCATTGGTTCAATTTCCCACTTCCCCTAAAAATTGCTTAACATAGACTATGTGCCTATTAATTCCCCGTAATCATCCCTATCAAAGTGGTTTGCAGGAGGTTAGTCTTTCCTTCTAACCAAAGTGCAGATTTCCCCCCCAAATGTTCTGAACATTTGAGTTTAAAAACGTGTGGCGTGTGTATGGCATGAATAAAATAGTCAAGGCTAGATGTTAGTCCACTATACTTCAGGTTTCTACTTCTTTGGGCTGCGCAGGACACAGTTCTCAGAGGTGGGCAAATTTCAGACTGGTGGGTTCTGCTTTGCTTTTTTGGTGGGCCTTGGGAGTTCTAGATGCAAAATGGTGGCTAAGGGAAGCGAATAGCCACTTAAAATTAAGGAACAATACATATGCTTGGCCCACACATTTTGTGTTCGGTACTCAAGCTGAGCTCACAGTGCTTTAACACAAAAATTCCCCTAAGCTCTTCTTGTTTCAGCTGCCTAATTTAGCAGTTGGGAGCTTTTCCACTGTTTAATGGCAAGTTGTAAACCCTTGCCAATATGCTGCAAATCACCCACAGATCTACCAATAGATCCCAATGTACCTTCTGCCCACTGCTCTATAGGATCTGTGTGCAGGGGTGGGAACGGGGTGTATACCAAAGAGTCTAAATGCAATCCCTGGGACTTTCAGTTTAAAGGACTTCAGGTTGTACACATGTGTAGCTAGATGCAAGCGTGTGTGGAGGTCTCACCTCACCATCTCTGGTGTACTTAACATCCTTGCAGTCTTTGTATTGACTCCTGGTTGTCTGCTTTGTTTTATTTCTATTTTCACAGTGCTTCAAGAGTGGCTCATTAGGTGTTTTACATTTTTTTAAAAAGACTTCTCTCCCACCCATCATTAAAAACTTTTTTTTAAAGAAACTGCTTTGAATTTGCTCTGACATGGGGAAATGGGCCTTTGTCACTGACACAAAGGCAGCCTATCCGTGCTCTGCTCTGAGGAGAATGGGAGGTAGCTTTGTGACTGACTCATGAATGGACGAATCCAGGCTGTTTGCAACTGGGCAAGTAGGACAGGTACTGCAAATATATTGAGCATGTTTTCACAGCATGCTTCCTGCATACATTGTGTACCTTCATGTTGAAGAGCTAAGGGGGGAAAACTGCTTGAAAGCTACTGCCATTCAAGCATAGTGCCAATACTCCTCATGTTGTTCCTTTTAATAGCGTTGGGGTGAACAATTTATGTGTTATTTCAATAGTTGGACTACATCAGCTTCCAACTCTGCTCTACACAGCTCTTTATTTGCAGCAGCGTCTAACAGTCCCACAATTGTAGCACTAATCCATGGGTAGGCAAACTAAGGCCCGGGGGCCGGATCCGGCCCAATCATCTTGTAAATCTGGCCCACGGACAGTCTGGTAATCAGCATGTTTTTACATGAGTAGAATGTGTCCTTTTATTTAAAATGCAACTCTGGGTTATTTGTGCGGCCTGCCTGGTGTTTTTACATGAGTAGAATGTGTGTTTTTATTTAAAATGCATTTCTGGGTTATTTGTGGTGCATAGGAATTCGTTCATTTCCCCCCAAAAAATATAGTCCGCCTCAGCACAAGGTCTGAGGGACAGTGGACCGGCCCCCTGCTGAAAAAGTTTGCTGACCCCTGCACTAATCAGTGTGTCTACATGTTGGAGGAAGAGGGAAACTAACACAGGAGGACAGCAAAAGACTTATGCAACCTTCTGTGTAGATAGAATGCTTAAACTCCCACTGAATATAATGGGACCTACACTGTCTAACCATGTGCATGACTGCAGCCTTCATCCCCCTAAAAACAAATTACTTTGTAGTGCAGTATAAAATTGATGTGCCTGTGAACATGGAACGCACAGGATTACCTTCTGTCTTTTTATCGTGGAGAACAGAATCAGTATGGGGGAAAGAGATTTATTGCACATTCATTTCGAGCTGACCAAGCAGCTTATAAGAGATTCAGCTAATGATTTATTTCTAGAGAGAGAAAGTGTTCTTGATGAAATGTCATTAATTGCTTAATTATTTGAGGGAGAAATTACACTCAGCAATTTGTTCGCCTTTTAGATTGGTTTCATTTAAGTAATTCTCCGTGAAAGCATTCCTGGGTTAGAAGTAGATGATGAACTTTCTAAGCAAACGCATGCATTGCAAATTGCTGATATTCCAACTATTTGCCTACTCTCATAATTTTATTTATTTATTTCTTTATTTATTTATTAAATGTGCATACCGCCCTTCATCCATAGATCTCAGGCTGGTTCACAAGACATATCTTAGCAAATGGAGATATATATATATATATATATATATATATATATATATACACATACACACATATACATATATATACATATATACATATATACATATATACATATATACATATATGATTCGTCTCCCCCCTGCTCTCCGCTGCTGGAATTCCTACTGATACTAGAGGCACATATTTAAGTCAGTGTTTGTATGGCTTTGCTATGGTCTTTGGCTAGTACAATAAAGCTTACTCACTCACTACTTAAGAGGAACTGTGCCTTAGTTTCCATACATCACTGTAAAATTGTGTTAATGAACTTGACATAAGCAAATTCTGCCACTATACAGTCTTGCATTGTTTCAATTTTGCCTATTTGTACACTAGCATCCAATAAAGACAACGCTTACCCAGTGCCTACAAATGCTTATGCTACAGAGTTTGCCTTTACAATAACCACAGAAATCCTTATG